GAGAGAGAGAGAGAGAGAGAGAGAGAGAGAGAGAGAGAGAGAGAGAGAGAGAGAGAGAGAGAGAGAGAGAGAGAGAGAGAGAGAGAGTAGACCCCAAATATCTCATTGACATTTCCATGTGTGCCGGCATAGCCGCACTGGCTTTACTTGTTCCAATTTTTAATGGATGTAGGTGTGGATTATGCAAAATTTGTGGATTAGTAGCCAGTCAAAATTTGTGTTTAGTAGCCAGTCAAAAATTGTGGATTACTCTTCAGTCCATTTGAATAAGGTAAGGGAAATGACTGTTTTGAGGGCTCCTTTGCCATTTAGCAAAACCTCTGTTTAAATCTTGGCATTATATGTGAGATAGAGTGCCTGGGGCTAGCTCTGTTGGTATACCAATGACCTGTTGAAATACAGACCTGTGTTTGAATCCGAATGGACCATTTGAATGAAGATTCTGAATTAAATTTGTGGATTAGAGCTCAGTCCATTTGAATAAGGTAACAGAAGTGACTGTTTTGAGGGTTCCTTTGCCATTTAGCAAAACCTCTCTTTGAATCTTGGCACTGTGTGTGAGATGAATTGCCTAAAGTACGGACGGGGCTAGCTCTGTTGTTAAACCTATGACCTGTTGAAATACAGACCTGTGTTCGAATCCGAACGGACCTAGATGAATGAAAATTATGAATTACCTGAGGCTCATCGGTTCGGCAATGGTATCTCAAGCCCATTGCCCTTTCTTTTGGGGAGTAGGGGGGGCAGGTATCTGACCAGTATCTATTAACTGAGTTAACTCAATGATACTACTTCGCTGCCTAACCTCTGCGCTCCTGTCCTTATCTGAAGACGTTGATATCGAAGAGATCTTGTGGCTCCCACCACTACGTGGGCACCTAAGAGTAAACACTGGCAGTGGTTAAGGTTGCCAGTCAAAGGCTACTAAAACACCAGATACAAAAGCTACCAAACTTGTCCACAAATCTTGGAAAATGTTTGGCAAACAAAAAAACTACAAAAGCTACCAAACTTGTCCACAAATCTTGGAAAATGTTTGGCAAACAAAAAAACTTACTCAAAAACAAATGAGGGGCGGGTATCTGTGCCGCCTCAACCTAAGGGTAGAGCCTGGGGAACCCTGTGTTCACCGGTCTGAAAAATCAAGACGAGTAAGTAAAGGCCCGCACCCGATTTGTTTGTGTGTCAAATTTGAATGCAAAGGCTATGTTTGCGCCTGCGTCGGTGTGGGGACCGTCGAGGGTGCTGTCAGCCTATGGGGGAAAGAGGTGAAGGGTGCGGAGGTGGCATATTCTTAACGGTATGTATGGAGGGGGTGGAGAGGGGTTTAAACTTTAAAGGGCTCCAGGTACTGATCATAGTGTCTGTTCATCTCCATGTTCTGGGTGCTTTGGCTGCGATTGATTCCATTTCTCTTTTTCTCTTAGTTTGTTTGGTGCTTCAGATTTTTTATTTATTTTTGGTTCTTCAGAAAATTATTGACATCATAAATCTCTTTCCGTACATGATACAGACATCCGTTAAAATTGGAACGATCCAGAGAAATGATTTTTGTGCCTGGATACCATGGGTGTGGACTTGGTTGTCCAAATTCAGACATCCAGTCTATGAAGACGTCGTTGATGATGAGCACAGTAAACACTAATTAATTTATAGAATTAATTATTATCCTGGCGATTCTTCAGGGCATCCGTGAAAACTGAAATTAATCCAGCGTCCTAGCTCGGTTGGTAAGGCATCCAAGTGGCATTCAGGAGGTCTTAGGTTCAGTCCCCATTGGTCTCATGTACCTTCCTGGGCATGCATGGCGCCCACCACCTAGAGATAGCTCAGTGGACCCCCCAAGTGGTATTGAGCAGAGACTGCTGATATTCGTAGGGGGAGGGGACCGAAGGGGAGGCTCAGGGATTGGTCCAGCGTGTGGTCCCTGATGCTACCAGCTGTCCCCTGGACGGTATCGTCCACCTGCAGGTCGGGTGCAACCCCTGCATGCCCCCTTGTTGGGGGCGTGAAAGGCCTCCGTGTCAGATTGGACAGGTGATTGAATTGGTTGGTCTTATAAGAATTATCCTTTTACATTAAAAAAAAGGGGAAAAAACCTGAAATTAGCATTGACCCAGCACGACTCACAAATTTGAAAAAGGGCTAAACCTTTACAACTCAAAATTCCGCTCTTGTCCTTCGGGACATCCGTTAAAATTGGAACGATACAGAGAAGATTAGCATGGCCCCTGCGCAAGGATGACACGCATAAATCGAGAAATGGTCCAAATTCAAAAAAAAAAAAAAAAAAAAAAAAAAAATCCGCTCTTAAACCACCTGTCCCTTGCCCAGCTGTTTTGTTCCGATGCAGCGGTCAACGTGCCATGCGGACAGGGTCTCACTCAGCTTACCAAGCCAAAAAGGGTGGTGGCACCAAGCAAAAAGAAAATACTTCACTCCTGCACGGGTCGTAAAAAAGAGTCTCGGAGGGACTGGTAGTTTAATGACATCTGCATTGTGGCCACACTGGTTTCTGGCTGACCACAAGTCTCCAAACCATGCTGGACATATCTGGGGTTATCATACTGCTCTGGCTGAATGGCTGCCGTATTCCCCCAAATAGAACTTATGGTAATTATCGCTGTATCATGGTGACCATATTGTCCATTTTGGGGAAGACAGTAGGTAACCAAGATCTGATGAGAAGGTGCTTGAAATTATCGGAGTTCCGCTGTTACTGGCGTGCTGCTGGCTTCTTCCCCTTTGTCCTCTTTTCCCTTTTTCGGTTGCCCTAATCTGACTGACAATCCAATTTGTCTCCCGTCCTGTACAGAACGCCCTGTCAGCGTGGTCAGCGAATTTGAAGCACAGCTACAAATCTTGGAACTCCTTGATCATAAGGTAAATAACCTGTTTTTTTTCTATTTTTCAAGAGAAAATAAGAACATAAAGAGGGTAAAAAAAAAAAAAAAAAAAGGTGAAGGGGATCCTAGCAGGGTGTATGTGAATAATCATGGAATGGCAGTCCGAGCAGGGCATTTGAGTCATGAAGGGATAGAAATGTGAGTCATGTCGGCTGCCAGCGATTTCAGGAAGATTGCCTGTACTGTAATGTGTATAGGGTGTAATGAAATTATGAAAGGATTGAAAAGGCAACAAGAATGGATGTTGCACCTCTCGCCTCGCCTCTGGGGATGGTTGTTGGTATTGTTGCCCTATGATCTGCTTTCGAGCCTTTCGTGACCCGTTTTTTATTTGATATGTGATGAGACCCCTTTTTGTGAATTAACAAGTTATGAGTCTTATGACCCTCGTTTTATTTCTTTCTATGAATGGGGCCGAAAAAAGACATTCCTCATTCAGTTGAACGAGTCGCAGGAAATTTTAGAAGAACTAATGCTGAGGGCATACTCACACTAGGACGTTTTCAACTGACCTCCGGATGTGAGTGTGCAAGATGCATCCAGGAGTGGTTGTAATTGCGTTCAGATATGCGTAGGACAGTGCTAGTGTGAGTATGCCCTGAGTCAGCACTGTGGGAATTGAAGGAATGGGCGTGAAAGTATTTTAAGATAATCATCTTTGCAAAAAGCCAAGCATCTGGGGAACTTGGTTGCTGTAGTGGATGTGAGATCTCTGGTTGTTGTACTGGGGAAAGCGAAAACTCTGTTTCTCGTTCGGTACTACTGACATTGAATGAATTGGCATGAAATGAAAGATTTCTTAAGGTCCTTCGCGTCATCTGAAAAAAAATTGAACAACGCAGAGAAGATTAGAATGGGCCCTCAAGCATAGATGACACAAATAAATTGAGAAATGGTCCAAAAACACAAAAAGGAAAAAAAGATAAAAGAAAGGACTTCTGAGTCAAGACTGCTGAACATGAAGTCAGTCAGCCGAGAACTCTGTTTGTTGCACAGCTTTTTCTTTCCAACTTTCAATCCTGTAGTGAGGGTGAGAACACTGTTTGTCTTAGTGGAAAAGCAGATCCCCCACGGCGAGGCCACGGCCCAGCGGCGGGGAAGAGAGACGGAAGGATGGAGGAAAGACAAAGAGCAAAGAGGAGAGGAGGGGGAGGGGCTGGCAAAGAGCGAGAGGAGAACTTCATGTAGTTGTGTAGTTGTGTGTGTGTGTGTGTGTGTGTGTGTGTGCGAGAGAGAGAGAGAGAGAGAGAGAGAGAGAGAGAGAGAGAGAGAGAGAGAGAGAGAGAGAGAGANGAGAGAGAGAGAGAGAGAGAGAGAGAGAGAGAGAGAGAGAGAGAGAGAGAGAGAGAGAGAGAGAGAGAGAGAGAGAGAGAGAGAGAGAGAATGATGCCCATTGGCGACAACGATGATGAAGACAATAATGTTCATGATGGCAGTCCGTGGAAAGGGGAATAGATGACTGCAAATAGCAGCCTGCCACCGGAGAGAGTTTGCCTCCATGCATGGGCAAGAAGGGAAAGAAAGAAGCGATTTCTTCTTTTTGCCCGTTCGCCGTCTTCCTCCTCATTATTGCACTCCTCCGAGGTACACAACCATATGTCCTCCTCCTCCTCCCGCTCGTCGTCTTCCCCCTCCTCATCGTGCTATCCTCATGTTCGTTCGTCCAAGTGAGAATGAATCTCCCACTAGAACATGGGAAGATACGCAACCATATTTACGACCATATTTCCTCGTCCTGCTCCTCCGGCTCATCTTTCCCCTGCTTATGGTGCTATCCTCCTGTTCGTCGTCCAAACGAGGATGAATCTTCCGCTATAACATGGGAAGACACAGGACCATATTCCTCCTCGTCCTCCTCCCGCTCGTCGTCCTCCCCTCGTCCTCCTTCCCTCCTCCCGCTTGTCATCCTGCCGCTTCGTTGTTTGGTGGACAGTCTAGCGACGCCCGTGGTCGGGTTCGCTATTGTATTCCAACATTCTGCATGCGGCGTCCTGCCAAAACGACAAAAAAAAGACTTGAGTCGTGATCCGGTACCCAACAAGACATGGCAAGAGCCTGTTTGATGCAGCACCCCCGCAAAACGACCTAAAAACGCTAAAATGAAACTCTAGCCGCAATCGAGTCCCAAAAAAGACTGAGCGCAAGAGCCTGTTGCGCTCACGCAGCCGGGCCAAGGCGCGAACAACGACGGACAGGCGTGCAGCAGCCCTTTCCAGATCTTTCGACAACACGAGCTCGGAAAAGGGAAAAAAAGGGGGAAATTGCATCTGTACCCAACCCCGAGCGCGAAAGAAAAATAAATGGGTAACTAGGGCGCAGTCACGATTTCAGTCTAAATATTAAAATCCACTTCAGTCATCCCTCGAATACAACACATCCCTACCAGACCCTAAAGCTAGGTTGTATACATTCACGATTTTCCTCGCTTTGGTACAACATTCGCAAAATCGTGACTGAAGCGCATTTTCAAACTGAACCGCGACTGCACCCTAGTTTTCCCAAAAATAAAAAGGGAAAATTGCATCTGTAGATTCTGTACCCCACTTAAAGATGGGAATACCTGCTATACCCCGTCCCAGTGCGAATTTGCATCTATACCCGGAACCCGTCCAACTTTGCATACTACCCAACTTTTCCCCTGTGCAAAACTGTAGGCGTACCCAGTCCCGCAGGCCCTCAGTTCCACACCACAAAATTATCCTCGTGCCCAGAAACCAGGCTGGCAGAATTGTGGGTGTACCCACACCCAGTGGTGGGCCTTGGGTGGCTGGCCACGAAATTATGCTCATGCCCACCAAGTGGACCATTGTTGCCCAACGGCTGCTGGGTATGAGCATAATTTTGTCCATCCGGTAGTAGGGTATATGAATAATTGGGCCGGTCCACCTCAGTCCCAGGTACGCCCAAAATTTTGTGTGGGTATGTCCTTAATTTGTGCGTTTCGGTAGTTGGTTATAACTGCAATTTTGCGGTACCAACCTGGGTCCACCTCAGTCCTGGGTATGCAAATAATGTCCACCGGACATTTTCCGGGTTTAGATGCAAGTTGGTGCTGGGACTGCGTATAGCAGGTATTCCCATCTTTAAGTGGGGTACAGATGCAATTTTCCCAATGAAAAAGACAGACATGCCCACTTGACGTCAGACCGGCCGGCAATGGTCCCACGCGAGCAGCGGTTTCTGCTGGGCCCGACGGTGGGTGTCAGCCAAGACCCACTGCTCGCTTCAGGAGGTATATAGAAATACTGTGTCGCCAACTGCCCCAGCTCAGTTGGTACATCCGTGAACTGTTGAAATATGCAGACCTGAGTTCGAATTGCAATGGAATCACATGAGTGAAAAATGACTCTGCATTTACCTGGGACCGGTCAGCTCAAAGATGATATCTCAAGGTCGTCGCCCATTTAAGGGAAAGTGAGGGAACCAAAAATAAAAATAAAAATATGTGCATAAAACAACTCTTTTGTTGTTCCAGAAGTCCCTCATTGAACCTGCCATGATGTTTCAAGTGTGCCAGGAGGCCATAAGATACACCGGCGCATCGGATCTGATGAAAGGAGGGATAAGAGTTGATAATGTCTGCTATTGTGGATTGCACATTTGCAGGCCATATTCACGGCAGGTTACAAGGCAGTGCTTCACATTCATGCCATTGTCGAGGAGTGTGAGATCCTCAAGCTGATAGCGCAGATTGATCCTAAGACGAAGAAGAAAATGAAGAAACCTGTCCTGTTTGTCAAAACAGGGGCAGTTGTTGACTGCCGAATCCAGGTAAGAGCACCGTTCGCTATGCGAGGACATACTCTTTTTACTTGAGTTGCTCAGTTGGGCGGACTATTTGGCACTGCTTATGTGAAGCTGCTGTCGGTCGTACTGCCAAGCCCCCCTGGTGCTATGTTTGTGCGTGGAAATGATGAACCCGTTCAGCCTTTCCTATCTCCAAGCCCCACTGCTGCTATGTTTGTGCTTGGAAATGATGAACCCAGTTGGCCTTCATTAGCATATGTGTAACACCGGTGCAATCAGACTCACTTTCTTTCACAACTCACGTGCATGTAAACAGGTAGCGCAGCAAACTGGCGACAAGCGCCCACTCAGAACTCAGAGATATGGTAACCAAGGACGCGGTTCAGATACAAGTTCACTTCAAACGGCTATGGCGCAACAGCGCCTGTACAACTCTTTGTTCGTCGCCAACCCAACTCCGCTGTTGACACACACAGGATCACCCTGGATATCCCGCAGGCTTCACACTGTACACACTCGCACACAGACACACGCTATGCTCTCCTATCAGCTATGGCGGCTATGGCCCCTGCTACCCCTATCGCTATGGCTCTGCTCTCCTTCTCGCCCACTTCGTCTTCGGGCTCACTGCAGACCACCTCGCACAAGTCGCTGTGGCAGCGCTTCCGCATGGCTTACGCAGGAAGGAATGAATGGCTGGGTGCTGCCTCTTGATTTATACTTCTGTAACTCGTTGGTCTGGCCCTTTCCCATGCCCGTGGTGGACACAGTCCCATACGGTACTTGCTTGACTGGACTAGGACTGACTGGGACTGGGTACCGCTGACCTATGAAACACGCGTCCGCGGGGTCGAGCTCGGAGGGCGTCCGTGATCACGGCCGCCGCGGCTCCGGCCGCGGTTGGGTGCGGCCACAACTTTCAGGATTTTTTTTGTGACCTTAAAAAATTATCAAAAAAAAAAACAAAAAATATGGGGTTGTAGATCTTTTCGAGATCTAAATTGCGCAATTTTTTATTTTATTTTTTGATTTCGTCTTCGAATTTTAAAAATTCAAAAACTAATTTTCCTGAGGCAAAAGCTGGGTTGTTTTTTTTTTTCCAAAAAAAAAACATGAAACGTATGTGATTTTTTATTTTAAATTCAGTAACGTTTTTGGATATGACCACAAGGCAAAAGTTGTTCAGTATATTTTTCTGCGTAACATTTTTTTTGTTCATAATTTTTTGAATTCTTTTTTTTTTTTTTTTTTTCCATGGCCGCGGCCGCGGACTTGTCCGCGGATGGCCGCCACCGAGGGGGATTCGTAGCCACTGACTCAACACAGGTGGACTCCACCACTTGCCCACTTGCCTACTTGCCTCGGTCTACTGTGGGCAGTGCCCGAAAGGCCACTTCCGGACCTTCTGTGGACTTGGCCTTTCGGTACTGTAGCAGCTACGACCTTGACCCTTCAGGACTGTAGCAGTTACGACCTTGACCCTTCGAAGGAGCTACAGCTACAAATTCTAGAACTCGCTAAGACTCCTATTCGACAGGTCTACAGATCGAACCCCTGTAACCTACAGACCTACGACAACCTACCAACTGTGGGAAAAGACAGGTCGTGGGTTCAACTCCTGGGGTTGACACATACTGTACACAGGTAAGGCAAAGACTAGGGATCGAGCCCTGGGGTCTGCATCGGCTACTGCGAACAGGTGAATACCGTTTCACTCCCGCCAGCCGAAATTCGAGGTCCTCCGAGAATAACTTAGTTCAAGGCAGGACCTTTACCTTTCCTATCTCGCTCGTAGGCTCTAACTACATCGGGAGCTGTTTCTAGAAGTTCAGTTCTTGTAAACCAGCGGTTGTCTTCTGGTTCCTGATATGCGAATCAGACTTTATACTGTTTCTGTGGACGACCTCTACCTCCGGTTCTGAATACATCTTCACCTACAATGCCGTCAATGTCGTACCTTCCGTCCATGTCAGGAGGGATCATGGATCTTCTAGATGGAACCTGTTGACTTGTGACACACGACAACAACTTTGATGCATGAAACACAGGGTAGGTGTGGAGGTGTGCTGGGATCTCTACTATGTAGGACGACCCATCTTCTCCGCCCTTGACTTCCAGAACTGGCCATGGTCCCCTGTATGCTGGCAGTAACTTCTGCGAGATGTTTTCCTCAGGAGCAAACTCTTTGGACTTGACCCAGACTAAGTCGCCTACTTGGAACTGCGGTGCTTGTTGGCTTGCTCTATCATCTTATGCTGGGCCCTCCTGAGGTTCTCGACGACTATAGCTAGCTCTTTCTCGTGCTGTGTTGCAAACTCCCTGGTACCGGGCGGTAGCTTGTGAATCTGGTCCCGGTTAAGTCCCTCAAACGGTCTGCGCGGTCTAAAGGACTTGTGTAACTCGTTGGGAGTGCGACAAGTGGACAAGTGCACATTGTTATTATGGGCACTGGCTACCTAATGTACATGCGCATAACTTGTTGCAAGATCTTGTTCATCTGTTCAGTTTGACCGCTAGTTTCTAGATGACGGGCAGATGACATCAGCAACTTTGACCCATAAACTTTCATCAGTTCTTGCCAGTTCTGACTTGTAAAACGGGTGTCTCTATCACTAACGATGAACAATGGGGACGCCATGCTCGCTAACCCAAAAATAAAAAAACTTCTTAATGACTAGCTCAGTACGAGCTTCTGCGGGTAATGGAACAAAAACAGCATACTTACTGAATCTATCAACTATGACCATGACTTGGCTTTTACCATGCCTACTCTCGACGCCAGCGTCCATGAAGTCAATGGACACTGAATCTCCTGGCTGATCAGGAATAGGCAAGGGTCTGAGAAGACCTAGAGGGGCACGCGTAGTAGTCTTATTTCTCTGGCAGACTTTGCAACTGCGGACATACTCTATGCAGTCAGCTTTCATTCCTGGCCAAGTGTACGCACGCATCCGATTGGCTAGAGTCTTTTGCCAACCGAAATGTCCCTCTGTGTGGTGGCATTCCCCTAGGATCGAACTACGGATTTCCTTGCTGTTAGGAACGCACAAATGGTGTACTACTTAGTCTTCTCAAATAACAACCCCTCTGTAGTGCGGTAATTTGGTTCGGTCTCTGGGGCCTCCTTGACTCTCTTGAGGAGGTCGCCACAAATAGGGTCCTGCGCATACGCCTGTCTAACTCTCTCCTGCAGGTCACTCCCTATATCCAGATAGTGAACTATAGCTCCAAAGTAGTCCGATCTCCTACTTAGAGTGCCCGCAACTACATTGTACTTGCCTTTAACAGGCTTGAGCTCGAAGTCATATTGGTCTATCTCAGCGGCCCACCTAGTCAACTTAGGTGTCATTTTGGCCTGTGTATTGAGCCACCTAAGAGTCTCGTGGTCTGAATACACTTTGAAGTGCCTCCCAAGCAGGTAATGCTTCCAGTGCTCCAGGGCCTGCTTGAGAGCGTAGAGTTCTCTCTCGTAAGTCTAGGTGGCTACCTTCTCTGAGGGCATCCTCGCTGACATGAACTCTACGGGTTTGTAGCCATTGCCGTCGTCTTGTTGTAACATGACGCCTATGCCATATTGACTCGCGTCCGTGGTGACGACAAATGGCAAAGACGGATCTGCTACTTTGAGGACAGGATACTTTATTAACGCGCGCTTTAACTTCTTTAGCGCAGACGTACAATCTTTATCCCACTGCCAGATTGCCTCTTTCTTGAGCAACCTGCGAAGGGGAGCGGCGATAGTCGAGAAGTTCCTCACAAACTTTCTATAGTAGTTAGCTAGGCCTAAGAACGGCCGCAACTCAGTCAACGTGCGGGGTGTCGGCCAATCTCTAATCGCCGCTATCTTGCTGTCCTTAGGCTTAATGCCATCACCGTCTAAAACGTGGCCCAACTACAAGACTTGTGTCTTGGCCCACTCACACGTCTTTGCGTTGATCTTGAAGTTAGCCTCTTTCAACTTCTCAAAGACCTGCCTCAAATGACCCTGATGCTCTTGGAGGGTCCTACTGAATACTAATATATCGTCTAGATACACTACAACAAATATATCTAACCATGACCTAAACAAATCGTTCATACAGCGCTGGAACGTGGCAGGCTCATTGGTTAGTCCAAAGGGCATCACTATGAACTCATAGTGCCCATATCTAGTCCGGAACGCAGTTTTTTACTGGTCATCAGGATGGACCTCTATCTGATGATATCCGGACTTCAAATCGATCTTCGAAAAATATCTGCAGCCCTGCACTCGATCTAAAAGATCGTCTATCCTGGGCAGTGGCTCAACGTTCTTTACTGTGATCGCATTTAGACCCCTATAGTCTACGCACATCCGTAACTCTCCTTCCTTTTGGGGGACAAACAAAACTGGTGCTCCAAAAGGAGATGAATTGGGCCTAATCCAGCCCTTTTCGAGGAGCTCGTCTAATTGCTTACGCAACTCCTCTAACTCCCTTGGGGACATCCCGTAGACTGCTCCCTTAGGAGTCCTACTGTCGGGCTCTATCTCCATACGATGCTGGATCGGCCGCGACACTACCCTTGTCGGTGGCTCTGCAAGATCGTTGATTTCTTCCAGCAGCTTGGCAATAGATGGATCGATGGGTGTGTCTTCTTTAGGCTCAGTGACAGGCCTTACATAAGCGACAAAGACCTGCTCCTCTAATTGCTCCTTTTTAACTAATCGTGCGAACGCGGGAGCACTGAGACAACAATGTGCCAGAGGGTTGTCTACTCCTGACAAATGAAATAGGTGGGCCGTCTTAACCTCGCCTGATGGACTAGGGAGCCTACACTCATGCTCTCTCAAATGGAGTGTGGCCCCTGCTGCCTCCCCCCAGTCCATACCTAGGACTATGTCGAAAGGAAGGTCATCCTGTACGAGGAGAGTCAGGGAATGGAGAACGTTTTCCACCTTCCCATCTTTCTTTAGGCGAAAATACGCTTGGACTCCCTCTACGTAGTCCTCAACACGCATAGTGTGGTTGTCTGCGAGGACACTATGGGGTCTTCCAATTTTTGGA